GGTACTTTAATTTTTTGGGTTCATGTTGTGCAACCAGATACTCCATGTTGTGCTGGTGTTCTTCCCTGGCCCTGGCCTGGCACGTCTGTGTGGCCATCTTGGGGTACGTCTAGACTACATGCCTCTGTCGCCAGAGGCATGTAGATTAGGCTACCAGACATAGTTAAAATGAAGCGGCGATTTAAATAATCGCCGCTTCATTTAAATTTACATGGCTGCCGCGCTGAGCCGACAAACAGCTGATCAGCTGTTTGTCGGCTCAGCACGGCAGCCATGTAAATTTAAATGAAGCGGCGATTATTTAAATCGCCGCTTCATTTTACTATGTCTGGTAGCCTCATCTACATGCCTCTGGCGACAGAGGTATGTAGTCTAGACGTACCCTCAGAGAGCTCGGATTTGCCGCCTGTTGTCCAGTCGGGGCTTGGAAATAACATCATGTTCAGGGAGTGCTTCAGTCGCCCCCGACCCAAAGGAACAGTGAAGGGCAAGCAGCTGACAAGTGACTTGCAGGCTGAAGTGCACTTCTGTGGCAAGGTGTTCATCCAGCTGCGGCTCCGAAACCTCTCCGCCTGGGGCTGCTTTGCAGCCACGGAAAAGAGCTACATTTGTTCTGTGCAAATAGCTGTCCCGTCTCCCTTCCGCCTGTTCTCATGCACACTCTACACTCAGGTGGTTGTTTGGTTGCCTGTTGTTAGCTCCCTCTAGTGAAACTTGTAGTGGCTTTGTTTTCCTCCGCCCTAAACGCCAAGCCCCCTTCTGCGCTTTTCAATGAACGTGTCTGCATCCGGGCGGGGGGACAGCCACTGCTGGTGCTTCTGAACAGAGGTTCCCGCCTGTCAGAAAAACAGTCCTAACAGTGACTCAATTTGGAGCTGGTGGTACCAGGAGCAAGTGTTGTCAATCCTGCTAGCGGTAGATGCAAATGGTTGTGCAGGAGCTGCTGGTGAGGTGTTGGAGGAGACGTATTTGGGAGGTACTGACCACTGGAGAAGGGTGTGGCTTAAAGGAAAGGGGCGTGGCCAGTTAGGGACAGATGTGGCCTGGCTCAGAGAATGGGAGGGAAGGCTGTGGGGGAATGGAAGGAGATGGGAAACGTTCATCCAATCTGACTGGGCCATGGCAGAGTCACTGAAGAGGTGCAGTTTGAAAGGCAAATGCGCCATTGACACGGGGTGGTCCTTGCGGAAGGTTAAAGGTGTCAGCTCCTGTGATGGGGTGGACAAAGCTGACCTGCCCGCTGGAGGCTTTTCAGCACCCTGGCCAGCAACGGGAGCAGCGGAAAGGTCCTCCGAGCAGGGTAGAGGGGCAGCCTGCACGGCAGCCAATCGGAGTGCAGCAGGCTGCTATATAAGGAGCTACTAGCTAAGGCCTGTCAGTTCCTTACTGGAGCTCAACCCAGGCAGACCTTTGGGATGACTGGGACAACCAGAACCTGGGACAACTCCGAGTGGGAGCTGGGCTCTCGTATCTAAGCGGCGCTAGATCCTGCAGCTAAAAGCTAGCGAGGGACAACGCTACGGAACCCGGACAAGGGGAACTCTGCAGCAAGGCCCTAGAGAAGGACTGGATGGAGCGGCATCCCGGGGAAGTGGCCCAGGGACGCGACCATACCTATGGACTTTAAAACTCGGCAGGTATCTGCTACATATAGGGTCCCTGGGCTGGGACCCAGAGGAGTGGGCGGGCCTGGGTCCCCCCCAACCCCTTGCAAACCACACCTGAGAGAGGGGGTAAAAGAGGAGGCCTGAACCTTGGCCGCGGACTGGACATTGACTCGCCTGCAGCCCGGCGAGTTAAATATTGCGAGACCCCCTTCAGCCACCAAGGGGCGCTCGCACTCAGGACCGAACTTGTTACAGCCCCACAGAACATGCCTGCGACCCAGATCTTTGACGCGGCAAAGGAGCTGCGGGCCCTGGGGAAAGCTCCACCTGCGACGGCAGCGGGTGGGGCCAGATGTTTGAGCTGAACAATTGAGCTCCTCTCCTGCTGTTGGCAGGCCTGGCCTGACTGGGAGCGGGCGGGCGGGCTGACGAGCGGGCGGGCTGGCAGTGGAGCAAAGGTGCCACGGATCTGCCCCGCTCACTGTGATCAGCGGGTGTCTGTGTCCTGGGAGATGCAGCGGCAGCCTGCAGGTCTTGCTGTGCTCACCCACTACATCTTTGCTCCACCTCCGCTAAGGAGCCCAGGGCCCCAGTGCCAGGGGAGGGGAATGAGCAAGCGCCTTTGATCCACAAACTAGGGCACCATCCTCCACAGAGCGGGCGCTGCCGTGCTGGCTGCAAAGGAGTTCGTTAAACTCGGCCTCCTGATGCCGCGTTGGGGAAGAGGTTGGTGTCTCCCAGAGAGGAACGTGCATGTTTCAAACCTGGGGTTTTCTCAGCTCAGCAAATGGGATACTCTTCCCCCTCCCCCCCGTTCCCCAGTCTGTTTGATACAGTCTCCTTTCAGTCTGTTGTATACTGCAGTACAGTGGAACGTTGCACCCCAGAAGTGGCTGCCTTGGGTGAAATGGTTTGTTATAAACTGCTTTGGGAAGGGAAGCGCTCGTTGTTGCCGAGATACTAAACTTACCGGCAGCGTGTCTCTGCTGCCTTCGTCTCGCTTCCCGGGTTTACGGAGCAGGATCGTTTTCACCTTCCAGGATGCTCGGCACAGCTGCAATCTCTGTTTACAGCCATTGGGCTTGGAAGCTCTCGGGGGCAGGGGTGGTGTCTTGGGCGTGTGCTTGCACAGCCCCTAGTGTGCCGGGATCTGGGTCACGGGTAACACAGATAACACACAATGGTGCTCCTGCAGATTACGCAGCAATGGGCTTGTCTCCGGCAGACTGCCCCAAGAAGGAGTGAAGCCCATGTTCGGTGGAACGGGGTTGTGATATGACAGTACTTGTATGAAATGTAAGATGTGGGGTGGAGTGCAGAGGGGGGTCAGGGCAGAGGATGGGGGTGTGAGGAGGGGCTCAGAGCAGAGGGTTGGAGTTGGGGGGTGCAGGAGTCAGGGTTGAGAGTGGGGGGGTCAGGGCGGGGGAGCGGGGGTGTGAGGAGGGGCTCAGAGCAGAGGGTTGGAATTGGAGGACGTAGGAGTCAGGGTTGGGAGTATGGGGGGGCTCAGGGCAGGGAGTTGGGGTAAATGTATGGGGAGAATACAGAGGGGCAAGGGTGCTATTTAGCAAGGGCAGGAGGGGCTGAGGCAATATTCCCTTTAATATTTTCCATCCGGGTGTGGAATACATTTTGTTACATGCACTGAGGCATGTGTGAATGTGCACCACCAGCAAAAACACCCAATCTAGCTGCAAGCGCTCTGAATCAGCTGGCCGGCCTTTGACTCTCCCCCGAGCAGCAGTACAAGCACCCAGCTTACAGGGAACAGGGGCTGAAGCCCCGCCCCAAGATGGGTGCCAAGCTGTTGCTTGCTGTGCCCTTTGGTTGCTTGCTGTGCCACTCACTCCGCTGGCTCCTCCCCTCCCTTCCCCAGCCAGGCGGGAGAGGAAAGGAGGGATGCTGAGCTTTCTCCCGCTGCCTGATGGGACGGGAACCAGCGAGCAGGGTCCGGGTACATGCATGAGGCTCCGGCGGGGGGGTCTATCAGTGTCGCTCCTAATCAGCTGGAGCGCCACGGATCCGGGCAGGTTTTGGTGGCGTTGAGCGCCCCTGTGCCTCTTTTTGGCCTCAGGTTAATAGACTCCGCTGTCAGGGGCCCATTGTGTCCAAACCGGAGCAGCTTTGCATGTGGCCAAGACGTAACGTTGCCCCAGAGGAGAAGGAAGGATTTGTGTAACCCCCTGACTCCCCCATCTGAAAAGCCTGCGGCTTATGCAGCTGTAACGCTTCCCCACGTTCCATAGATCCTCTCCGTGTGTCCAAAGGGCTTGGACAGATGGTGAGGGGGAAGGTGGGGGCGGGGTTCTTATCACTGTCATGCAGGAGAGCCGATGCACAGAGACCAAGAGGTTTAAATACCCTGAAGTGGCGCCTGCTCAGTTTGCAAGGCCTAAGTCCCAGCTGCACAGAGATAGGCTCCACCTTGCACTGAAGGGGGCTCCTAAATACCTTTGCAGCTCTGAGCCTGAGTGACTTAGGAGCCTGGACCCGATTGCTTTTATGGGATTTTTGCTTTGCAAGGCTTAAGTGACTTAGGAGCCTGAATGATGCACTTCCTTCAAAATCTGGTTCTAAGTGACTTGGCCAAGGACGTCTGTGGCAGAGCACTGACTTGAACCCCAGCCATTCCCAGGCTGGTTCCTTGCCCTCAGTGGCTGCTTGGAGGATCCAGCGGTGCTGAGCCTGCCTGAGTGGATGCTTGTTAGTGCTTGTGGGCTTCAACTCCCCCCGGACCAGTCAGCCCGGGGGGGTGTGGTTGGCTACGGCACTGGGGTTAAACCCCATGGCCCTGGAATGGCGAGGGACACGCCCCTCTTTCAGGTAATGGGCTAGTGCCATGGCTGACCCAGGGGGAGTCTGTCACTCAGCAACACGCAGTCTCCCCCCGACCCCGGAGATGGTCTTGCTGCCTAGGGCTGCACCCCAGGGTGCCCTCTCCTGGCAGAGCAGGTGGGTGCAGGCGTCATGCAGGGGTGCTGGCCGTGCTACAGGTGAGGGAGCTGCAAGCGGCACTAGTCCAAAACCCTCTCCCCCCCCACCTCAGCCAGGAAGTCCCTCTTCTCCCCCCGCCTCCCACAGGTGTAGCATGGGCAGCAGTAGTGCCAGCTTCACCCACCCCGCCTTGCCAGTCTGCATGGCCCAGTCAGTCCCTGGCCCCTTTGCCACGGCTGCCTGCGAGGGGTCAGGTACTGCCAGCCATGGCAGCCACCATGTGCGTCCTGACACCTCCCCTCCGCCCCCCGATGGAGCTGGGTCGAAGCGCTGATCCCCGGGGTGTGGGGCTGCTCCCCTCGGCAGCTGGCCCTCGCCGGCTCCGGCCAAACCCAGGCTGGAGGCCCGTGGGCAGTGCCAGGCGGCTGACCCACGGGCTGGCTTTTCTCCCCCCTGCAGGGCTGCTGCTGCAGGAAGTGACCATGGCGGGGATGCACGAGCTGCGCTTCACGGAGGAGAAGCCGCTGCTGCGAGGCCAGGAGACTGAGCTGGTGAGTTGCTTTCTCTTCACCCAGTAGCACAGGGGGAGTTGCCTGCGAGAGGCTCAGCCGACAGGATGGATAAGGGGCCTGCTACTGCCGCCAGCCAGGAGCGCTCCTCTTCAGCTCTCACGCAAGGGATCGCGTCCTGGTTCTGAGTGTGTTTGCCTGATCGTTATCCTCCGCGCACGCCTTGTCCTAGAACAGGGGTGGGCAAAAGGGATCCAGCCTGCCCAGCGGGTTGGTCTGGCCTGCAGAGGCCCTGCCGCTCTCCCGCCTCCAGACCAATCAGGGCTTGGGGGCAAAGGGGAGTGCACGAAGTTTCCTCCGCCTTGCCCCTGCCCTGCCAGGAGCGTGCGGCGCTTAGAAGCACCATGTGCTCCTGGCAGGGCGGGAGGAGACTTCACGTGCTCCCCTGCTCCGATTGGCCTGGGGGCAGAAGGGGAAGCGGGCGCCACTGCCAGGGGCATGGGCGACTGGGGGAACCTCTGGGGCGGGGGAGGGGAAGACTTCACCGGGGTGGGGAAACAGGGAAGTATCTTGGCCCTTCCCTTCTCCCTGAGGCCCCGCCCCTTCTCCCTGAGGCCCTGCCCCTTCCAGTGTGGCTTGGGGACACTTCAAACATTTCTGAAGTGGTCCCCAGTAAAAAATTATTGCCCACCCCCGTCCTAGAACCCTAAATCCCCCAGTGCATTCTGGGACAGCCAGGCGCGCCTGTTGCAAGGCGCCATTACCCAAAACCCCGCGCTCCCGAGAACGTCCATGTGGGGATGCAGTGGAGCCGACCCAGTGGCAGTGTCTGTCCCGGCTGAAGAGAAAGCGTGGTCGGCTGGGCTCGCTCGGCTGGACTGGAGTGCAGGGCGAAGCGGCCGGGGGCACCTCGTGTGGCCCAGCTGAAGAATGGCAGCTTGGACCATGCCGGCGCCTGAGGGTCGGGGTCCCTGTGGAGGTGCTGGCCAAGAATCAAGCACCTACTGTCGGCTCGGCTCGGCGTGCAGGCTGGCTGCAGCGAGGGGCGGTGCTGGAGTCTAGCGCTTTGCTCAGCGCCCGGGGGGTTACCTGACGGGAGGACTCGAGGTCACCCGGCCGCCCCGCCAGGCCTGGGAGCGAGGGGTGACCCACCAGGATGTGCGGCCGCGCCTTAGAATGGCTCCCTCCCAGCGCCTTGCGGGTGAGCGGGGCGGGAGGGTGGCTGCGGCTGCTCTGTCTGGGGCTGGAGAGCAGGCGGGGAGGAGCCCAGAGAGCTTGCTCCCAGCACAGGGACACCTTGTGCGGAGTGGACACCTCGAGGGTCACCGCGACACTGGGTATGGGGGGGAGCTGGAACGACTCTCGTTGGCTGGGCTTGGTGTCTCCTCTCTCCCCTGCTGGCTTTCACAGGGCCCCTGAGGTTGGCTGCCTGGCCTGACGTCCCCGCTCAGGCTTGTCCTGCGTCCCTCAGGCAGGCCGGGTGGCGTCTCTGGCGCCCTTGTGCGGGTGCCGACACCGGGCCTGTGTCCACCCGGAGACAAGGCCTAGCTGCTGCTGAAGAGTCGCATGCCTGCGGGATTGGTTTGCTGTTCCCAAATGCTAGGATTCTAGTTCCAAACACAGGCCCTGTTAGGCACAGGCTGTATTTATCCCACCTTGGCATTCGAAGGACCGGTGTGCGAAGCTACTGCAGATAGCCACGTCCAATAACAGGAAAAACTTAAAAAACCACAGATAGTCTGGCAGCACATCCTAGAACAAGAATTTTTGAGGGGGGACCACTCTAAGATTTTAGTAAGTGTTCAAGGGCTGTGCTTTTGTATGGAGAGAGTGCAGGGTCGGGGATGGAGGTTGGGTCCAGAAGGGGGTTCAGGGTGCGGGAAGAGGGTGTAATAGGGAGTGTGGGGTCTGCGAGGGAGCTTGTGTAACCCCTGAGGGAGTGTGTGACTCGCCCAGCAATAGTTACAGCTCCAGCGAGGGAGCCTGTCTCTTTCACTCAGGCTGTCGCAGCTTTTATTTATTTAAAATATTTTTATCCTGCCTATTTAACATTTTCCAGGCGGCTTACAATATTTTTAAAGCACAATATAAATATATATCAAAAATTAAAATACAAGAGCCCAAGGGGACATAAAACCTGCTCTGACATCTCGAGAGGAGGGACATGCACACAGACTCACACACCAATAAAAACACAAGTAAAAGGAGTGGCCTTAGCCTGACGCTGAAACAATACCGGCGTTGGCACTATGCGAATATCCCGGGGAAGAGAATTCCACAGCCTGGGAGTGAAAGCTGAGAAGGCCCTGTTCCGTGTAGATGTTAATCTTATCTCCACGAGTGGGGGAACACTGAACAGAGTCTCCCTAGCTGACCTCAATCCCCAGGCAGGTTCATGTGGGAGAAGACGGTCCTTCAGATACCCAGCACCCAACCTGTTTAGGGCTTTATAGGTCATAACCAAGACCTTCAATTGTGCCTGGAAACACCGAAATCCAGTGCAGCTGCTGGAGCTCTGGCGTAATGTGCTCCGTAGAATGAGTATTAGTTAAAACTCGAGCAGCTGCATTCTGGACCAGTTGAAGTTTCCGAAGGCTCTTCAGAGACAGCCCCATGTAAAGCATGTTACTGTAAACCACTCGGGATGTAACAAGAGCATGGATCAATGTGGCCAGGCTTGTTCAGGAAGGGTCGCAGCTGGCGGATCAGCCGAAGCTGCCCAGAAGCACTCCTGACCACCAAAGAAATTTGGTTCCCAGATGTTAAACAAAGGTCCGGGAGGACTCCCGAGCTGCGTACCTGTTCTTTCAGGGGGAGAGTAACCCCGTCTAGAACAGGTACCCTGCCACATGCCTCCCGATCCGCAGCACAGCTTTTATGCCTCTGGCTCTGATGGTCCCCTGTTCAGTCCCTGTTGGCAGTTGGGCCCAGGCCGGGTAGTGGACACGGGCAGGGGAGAGGGCGCACAAGCCCTGGGGGAAGGGGGGCAGCTGCCAGGACTTCAGTTCTGTAAACGCTCTCGGGCAGCATATCTAGAGCTGCCCATGGCAGCGATGGCGCCCTGAGGCCTGCGGGCAGGGGCTGAACTGCTCAGCACAGGGCTCTGCTCTCCGTTCTCTGCCAGGAGGCGGGGGGTAGGGCTGAGGGGATGGCACAGTGTCTGTGCCGGGATGAGCTCTGACGGTTCTCTCTGGTCTGTCTCCCCTCCAGGAGCACTCGGATACCTTCCTTTCCGCGGTGGACACGGACTGGAAGGTAAGGCCCCTCCTCGGACCGCCAGCCCCTCTGCCCGTTCTCCAGGCCCTGGGTGGGCTGCTCACATTGCGCCGATTGGGCTCCCCTGCTCCGTGACCGTTGCTGCCGGGCTCCTGTCTGCTGGCCGGGGCAGAGGAGGGAGTGCTACCCAACAGCTGCCGTTTGGGGCGCCCGTCACCCCCTCTGCCTGCCTGAGGCACAGCCCCGCGTGTGGGTGGATGGTGCGGGAACTTCGCTCAGGTTCCCAGCCTGAGGGGTGGTGTCTGTCCTGGATGAGTGCTAATGTTCTCGATGCAATCAACGGGACTGAAGCCATGAGCTTCACTGTGGCAGATTAGCTCACATGTTACCGTATTTTGGAGCAGTGCGTGCACATCCCTGGTTTCTGATTGGAGGGGACAGGGAAGAATTGAAATAGCTACACTGTGTGTCATTGACCCTATACTGCTAACCTCTAATGGAGAGTGCTGGAGGGCTTATCCCTTCACCCTCCCACTTCCCTGCTCCTTCTCATGTGAACAGAGAACAGCAATACCCAAAGTTCGGAGAGGCGAACAATTCAATGTTTATTGGGGTTCGCTTCCAGCAAGCGTGAATCCAGGTTCCTTTCCCTTTTTTTTTTCCCCCACTCCCTTTCTGTTTGTCCCCAGTACATAGCAACATTTTCAATACCTTAACCCATCATTCTACTGAAATGTAAGGTACCGGTCCCAGCACATTGTAACATGATTGCAAACCACCAATTGAATTGCTTGACGCCCAACAAAATTAATTGTACAGGCGGCAGAAACAATCAAAGAACCAGACAGAGCCATCCAGAGAAACAATAGAGAGATGGGGAGCATAATAACAAAGCAATAAACAAATGAAGATTTCACAGCCCCAACTATTGATTAGTGGGTCCTTGCCAGACAGAACGCCATCGACCTTCGTTTTGTGGGAGAAAAATCAAATAACTCCAATTGTGTCTAAAGGGGGGACTGTGCAGGAAATAAAAACTCTCTAAAAGAAAACTGCTGTAAGGGTTAAAAGTTTTCCAGGTCTCTCTCCCTGTAACAGAGAGAAATCAAATTAACTCTAATCAAGACCCTTACAATGCCTATCTCAAGTTCACGAAGACTCCTAGTCTGTCACAATTTGTCATGTAAACTCTCTCGTGCCTTTGTTCTGTAAAACTTACTTCTAGCACTCCTGGTGTGAACAGAAACATCTCAGAGTACTTCTGCTGAGATTTTGATATGTTAAAGAAAAATAATCAACAACTACTGTCTGAACATACTGTATAAAGAATCCCTGAAACTGTCTCTCAGGGCTGGCTGCTAACTCTGGTAGCGGTCAGCCTGCATGCATGCATAATAGAGTTTTCCTTCTAGGTTTCTCTCCTGCCTCACTGCTTTGACCTCCAGCCTCGGACCCTTCTGGGGGCTCTGTACCCCAGGGGAGCGAGATTTCCCCCACAATTTGGTGTCAGAAGTGGGATGGCTTGGAACTCCAGTTGGAAAGGCTGATGACGGGGAATGGGAACGGACTACAGCGCACATCTGGAGGGTAAGGGATCCATTTAAAATCCCCCAGTCCGCCTCCCTGTTCTCGTCATCAGCTGGACCGGCTGGCGGTAAGAGTCCTCTTTTACTTAAAAATTTTTGTTAAGAGGCTTGAGGGAGATTTAAAACGAAAACACTGGGTATAGCCAAATAGGGGTTGGATTTTGTTGTGTTGCTGACTGATTGGTGGCGAGTCCAAGCGCTTGGTTTTGAGTGAGTGAAGTCCGGAATGGGACTGTAGCCGCACCGGTGCTGTCAGTGTCACTGCACAGCTGCTGAAAGCAAGGGCGGTTTCCCCCGGCACATAAGGAGTATGAGTGAAGCTGACAGTTTGTGTGGACTCCCACACTATCCTTGGAGAGGGTAGTGTTGCTGGACGCCTGTACTATCCTTGGAGAGGGTAGTACTGTTGGGCTCCTGCGCTGTCCTTGGACAAGACAGTGCTAACATGGATAAGATTGCTCCCTCAAGTCTGTCTCCTACTGAGGGGAAAGGTTTCTCACAGCCTGGGACTCCCTTGTCTCAGATGATCAGTCAGCTAGGTATTGCCTGCAGGTTTGAAACTAAGGAGACTTAAGGAATTATTGAGCATTTGGAATGGCTATACTCAGGGGAATTCCCAGAATAAATGGCAACTAGAGCTTTGTCTTACAAAAGCTTTCTTATCTTAGAGTTTTCCTCGAGGAAAAACATCCTAACCAGATGGAATATTGGTGCCTCTGGGAGGATGTGGCAGTAAAAAAAAAATAATCAGAACATTATGGCTAGCAAAAAAGCTTCTATTGAAAAGCTGCAGCAAGAATTGGCTACTCTAAAGAAACAGCTTGATTCCCCAGATGTGCCATCTGCACCCCCACCCGCTTTGGGCCCTTGTCAGCTGAACATTCTTTCCTGTTATCTCCCTGTTCTCTTGTAAACCTTATGGGAGGGGTGTATGTCCTGAGGTCTCATCAGATTCCTCTGAGAGTAGTAATGCCATCAAATTTGGAGTCTGATGGGGGGAAAGGTCAACAAATATCCCTTCCTCTCTACAGAGAAGGTTTGCACCCAATTTACACAACAAGTGACGTCCCATCAGGTTTACCAGAGAACAGGGAGATAACAGGAAAGAATGAGACATTGTGGGCAGCCCATGTGAATGAAGTGGGGTTGCTAGCCTCTGCAACACCAGTGCAAATAACATACAGACACAACAAGCCTTTCCCAATAGGTACCCCTGTATCTATTGTCTAGGGAGGCACAAGAGGGCATTAAGCCTGTAATCTCTTCCCTGGGTCCTTGCCAGACAGAAAGCCATCGACCTTCGTTTCCTTTATCTTCTAGGCCAGTGATTCCCAATCTTTTTCCTATGGAGGAACCCCTAAAATAATTTTTCATATCCTGAGGAACCCCTACCTATGAAAACATTTGCTTGGCCAGAAAAAGTTGACAGCAGAGAGCGCAATTCAATTACTGCTAAATTTTTTCAAGAAAATTTATTTGTAAAGAGCTGTTTATATATAAAAATGTCAGCTTACATTATAAGAAAAAAAATCGGTGCATTTTTCCTGTGGTTTTTTTGTATCATCTAATCTTTTCTTTTTTTTTTCCCCCAAATATCAAATATCCTCCCCTTCCCAGAGCCGGCCCGAGCCTTTCTTGCGCTCCAGGCTCATGGCGCCGCCACTGGGCGCGTGGCTCATTCTTGCGCCCTGGGCACGTGGCACATACGCGGCCCCATTCCTGCCTGGCAGCACCGTGCGGCGCCCCTTACAATCAGGTGCCCCGGGCTATCGTCCAGTCAGCCCGTAGCTTGGGCCCGCTCTGCCCCCTCCCGCCTCACTCTCTCTTTCTCTTCTCCTCCCCCTCCTGCTTCACTCTCTCTCTTTCTCTTCTCCTCCCCCTCCTCTGCCTCTCACTCACGGAGCCCAAGTGGCTGCTTGCTCCCCTGCGGCGGCCCCGCTGAGCAGTGCAGAAGTCAGCCAAGTGCCAAGGCGGGAGGCGAAGGGCGTGACAGATGCTCCAGGCCCTGCCCAGCATTATTTATTCCACGATTTCTCGCGGAACCCCTGATGATGGTCCGTAGAACCCCAGGGTTCTGCAGAACCCCAGTTGGGAAACACTGTTCTAGGCTCTTCCTTTTCTCTGGAAGCAATGAGTTGGGTGGCCTTTCTTACAGCCCCAAATTGCCTTTTTTCAATATGATTGGTTTGGAATGTGCCTCGTTTCAATATGCCTAGTTAAAAGCCTTCACTGAAGAACAAGGCCTCAGACTATCTGTGTGGGATAGTCTGGGCTTTTGATTCTTTGTTCTTATCCCCCTGTGAGACTACACCTAAATTCTTAAAGTATATTCGCTCCTAACAGCGACCCTCCCTTAGCTCCGGTGGTGAAGGCTGAGCAGATCTAGCCCCACGGTCGCGGTGACATCGCGAGTGGCTGTGAGTGACAGCCGGACTGCTGTAGCTGGCTTTGGATTGGCTTCAATGGTTACGCTTTGAAATCTCCCAGCTTGAAATATCGGAATCATTGCACCCACTGCAGCCGCCTCTGCAGTGTCTCCCAGCAGCAGAATATGGCACCATCACCATTTGGAGCCAGCAGTTGAAAGAAAATGTTACCGGCGTACAGAATATCCAGACTTGTGCCCCGGTGTAGTTCAGCCCTAGTGCAGGACTAACGCTGGTGCTGTCGGGGCTGCGCCCGGTAGTCGCACTGTTATGGTGGCCGTGGGTCTGTGGTCCCTGTCCAGGGCGTGCTGGCGAAGCTCCCGGTCTCCCTCGCTCTTTTGCAAGGTAGCGTGGGAGGCTGGATCTTATTAAATATCGTTTTCCATTTATATAAAAACAAATCAGGGAAACGTCGCTTCAGGCCCACGCTTCCCCGGGCCTCCGACTTCTCCTGGCACGGCTGCTCCTGGTGGCGGCTGTGCTGTGGGAGAGGTGGCATCAGAGGGTTGGGCCTTCAGGAAAACCCACCCCTCCCGGTTAGGGATGGAAGAGGCGTGCCAGCTGCAGCAGCAGGAACGGGGACTCGTGCAGAACCACTGGGCGTTGCGGGAGTGGTGTTTATGCCTGCACTTCCCTGTGTCTCCCAGAAGGAAGTGCTATGCGGAACAGGGCCTGTTCCTACGCTCTGGAGCGCTGGGTGGTGGGGTGGCCGCGTTGCCCCCAAGCATGAGCCGCAAGCAGCCGCTCAGAGGCCCTGCCTTTCTGGGGCTACGGGCTCTCAACAGCTCGGCTGGCCCTGTCTCCCCCTTCCTCAGTGAGAGCCGAGAGGGGCCCCTCGAGCTGAGCGCCCCAAAGGGAGCTCCCAGTGTGTTCCCGCAGGGCTGGGGAACCTTTTTTGGGTCAGGGGCCGCTGACCCCCAGGAAAATCAGTCGGGGGCCACACAAGTGAGAAGCCAAAACCCCTCCAAATCCCTCACTGGTGTGGCCCCTGACTGAGGAGAAAGATGCTCCCCACGTTCCCCTTACA